GGACAAACCCTAACCTGGTGAGACTCTTTCTTTTCCTTCTATTGGTTGTTTCCTGCTTTATTCCTTATATATAAAAAAACCCAATTACAAACTTCAAAGTATGTTGATCTTTAGAACCCTTGTGCTAATGTTATTTAAAATAATTGTGCCCTCGCTTTGTCAAAGTTTTCAAAATACTTCCCAACACATTTATGTATTTATTTTTTTTTATAAAAAAATACATTGGATTAACATCATGAAGACCTGTGAGATAGAACTTTGGTTTCCCTGTAGTTCATTATCACTGGCTTCTGTGGTCCATCCATCTCCATCTCTAAATCAAAGTTTTTGATTACTTAAGTAAATGAGGTAAGGTGCGGAATTGCCTTAGTGCATTGCATCTTAATGAAATAAGCCAGAGGTCCCCCACTTTTCGGGCACCAGGGACCAGTTCCGTGGAGAGAGGTTTTTCTGCGGACTGGAGGGGGTGTGGTTTTGTGTACTGCCTGCATCTCGCAGATGGGACTTTGCTTGTTTGTGCGGACCGGTTACTGGCATGCTGCGGCCCAGTACTGGTCCATGGACTGGGAGTTGGGGACCCCTGAAATAAGCAATATAACATTTCTCTTCTTCATCTTTTTAATTTTTTTCCTAGGCTGGGGGTCTTCTTTGCCCCACTTCTTCCTGTGGTCCAAATCCTCAAATTACTGCTCTTGTTCTATGTTAAGAAGGTAATTTAGTTGCCATTTCTCTTAGTTCTGATGCACCTTGCATTACCTGGCTGCATGCATGGACAAAGGACAGGAGTGTGGAAGTAGCTGCAATATTAGAGCTCCTCCATCCCCGCCCCTCCCCACCCAGTCAGGATGGAAAAGTTAGCAAATCACATTGAATAAGAGGAACTGCATTGACCAGAAGATCATTTACAGAAAGGGAAATCCATCAGGAGTTTTGAACCAAGAGGAAGATATTTATTTCACACTCTACTCCTTCAGAAGCAGCAATGAATGAAATGCACATTACCGTGAGATGTGAATTAGAGCATTTTTATAAAATATTTTTAAAAAAAAAAAACTTTTGGGAGGTTACATTTGGGGGAGAAAATTTTTTGGCCATTGTTTATTTTCCCCTCCTTAAAATCACCCTACATTATTTATTCCTTTGCAGAGTTTAGGCATAAGTTACGCTTAAAGGAGAGGAGAAGCATTTATTGTCTATAGTTCACCTTTTTCAACATACATAAATACTGCATGTACGTTTTACTCAGAAACGACTGCTCTTAGGACTAAGTAAAAATCTATTAATTTTCCTATGAATCCCTCTTAGGTCAGCTTGATGAGAAATTGTCAGTGTCCCAGTAAACCCTGGCGTGCATCTCATATGAGCACCATCTTCATCTCTTTGTTGTGCTTCCCTTCATTCCTGGGTGCCTCCATATTCCTCTCCTATACCATCTGGGCGTGAGTAGATTTTCCTGTACAAAATAACCTCTTGCTGTTACATTCCAGATGCGAAATATTTCAGAACAAATAGTCGCAACTTCTTTCTCCACATTTCTATAATCTCCATTCTGCCCTCCATTGTCTGATATAAAACAGGTCTAGGTTTTGGGGAGAATGGGGCTCTCACTGGCATTGTGTTGTAAAACTTGTATCTCCATCCACATACAAGTTACCATGTCACCAAAAAAAGGTATTCCTTTCCTCCTAAGAGGCCAGTCTTCTACCAATGCTAGTCCATTGGTACTTGCAGCAGGGAGACTTCCGGTGGCAGGCGTCTTCGTCGGTCGCAGCTGTTTGCTGCCTCCCGCCTGTTTCGCGTAAAAGCCGGTTTGACAGCTAGCATCAGCTGTCAAACAGCTTGATACCTTTCCCCTGGGCATAAGGGGATAGGTGAGCTGCCCGGGGTAGGAGTTGAGTTCCCGAGTCGTCCTATATGGACGATGTAGGTGAGAACTCCTCCGGAGCCCCGAGGATTCTCCGCGATCCAGGACGCCTTCGCTTCGGCGAAGCTAGAAGCCGCCGCCACCGCTGCAACTTAAAGTTAACTGTGAGTTT